TGTGCAAGTACTTAGTGCCCCCATCTCTCATAGCAAGACTAAACAGGCTGAGCTCATGAGTCCAGAGCTGAATTTAAATAACCTTCTCACAAAGTTTGTTCATAGGTATTTGTCTTCATACCATACCTTCAACATAAAAATTAATTTCACATTTTGTGACAGCTGTTATGGTTATACTACACTGGGCTCTAAAACAGTTTCTATACCCATTGGGGCTGAAATGTACTAATTGTTAATCAGTATGCTTGCACTATCAAACGCAAACTTGCTAAGGAAGAAAGAATTGAGTGAAAACAGAACATAAAACTTAACATTAGCATTCGTATTTTTCAAAAGTACTAAGAACATTCTGGAGACTATGGCTTCTCCCATCACACCCTGGAAAGAGTAATCAAGTTGCCTTCCTTGATACATCTGGATCAGAATACTAGAATAAACAAGTACAGAAGTATTTGTTGTTGTGTGTCAAGTTATTTCCATTTTATGGCAACTCTAAAGCAAAACTATCATGGGATTTTCTAGGCAAGATTTGTTCTTGCCATTGCCTTCTTGTGAGGCTCTGAGAGTGTGATTTGACCAAAGTCACCCATGGTATTTTTAATGATAAACAGTACCGGGGGAGAGGAGCTGTAACCTACTTAAAAGGTTAACAGCTGCTCCTGGAAACTTTCAGGAGAGGCAGTTCATTCTAGTTTGGGCCAGGAAAAGGCTGATCTGGAGTGGGTGAAAGCCACAAAAAAGGTTTGGAGGGCTGCATGTGAACATTTTGCCCACTGCTGACATATACCCCATCACCTTTCCCTCTATTCCAAGGAAAGTAAAATAGGCTAGGCCAGTCATAATACTACTAGTATTACACACACAGAGACAGACAATGAAACACACAACTTACTTCTTAAAGGAGGTTTACAGGTGAAGAAAAAAGTGCTGACAATGAACATGATAGGCAAGAAAAGCAGTGTAGAAATGAAAGAAAGCCTAGTGGGAAATATTTGCTCATTCCTACATCCAAAAGTTTCATATTTCACTCTGTGTATGTTTTCACATCAGCCCCATTCTCACAGGAGTCACACAAGAAAAAATAAAATGGCTACATACTGCTTTTCAGCCATCCATCATCACATTCACTCAATTGTGAGACCAGGGCTGCTGCCTCCATCGCACTCTCTTCCCGAACTCTTCCTTAACACCACCTCCTTGCCTTTCCCTACCCATCATTCCTTTATGATTTTGTTTTGTTTTCTCCTTTTCTGCACAATTATGAAGTTCTGCTGCCTCACTTAAATTAAGATAGATAGATAGATAGATAGATAGATAGATAGATAGATAGATAGATAGATAGATAGATAGATAGATAGATGGAATAATGAGGGGGAGGTGGGATGGGGGAAGGAAGTGACACTGTGAAACCACATGACTTGCAATCACGCAACGGCCCCTGGAGCAACGTTTCACACCTGGGGACCTGCGTGATTGCCATGTCATTCATGGGTTTCCCCTGTGAATGAAAATGGGGACAGGGCAGGTACAGGTTGGAGGTGGTGTCATGGAATCAGTATCACCAAAGCCACTCCTTCCGTGTTCTTGCAGTTTAAAAGCTGCATGTGGTAATTTCCTGTGTTTTAAGTTTCCAGTGTTCACAGGCAAACACTTGAAAATGTAAAGCAGGTGTAGGCAACCTTTCCCCTTTTAGCTGCCAGAAGCCTCAACCATGTTGGCCAATAATCCCATGTTGGCCAATAGCTCCTGGGATTCTGGGAGCTGAAGTCCCTTGGCCCTTAAAGGGGAAAGGTTGCCTACCCCTGATGTAAAGGTTTAGGAAACAGAAATGGGAGTCAGGGATAAGTATCTATTGCTATATTCTCAGTAAGCTATCACAAACAGATACAACCAACTTCCTCCATTTCTCTTTCACTGCATTTGTCAAACAAGATAATAGTCTTTCTTCTTGACTCTGAGCTCCTACTATTGCTACTTGATTATTCAAACTGTCTATAATAATCCCTGACTGTACAATCACACTTCCCACTTGAATATTTTGTGATGCTCTATGCCAGGGGTAGGCAACCTTTCCCCTTTAAGAGCCGAGGGACTTCAGCTCCCAGAATCCTAGGAGCTATTGGCCAACATGGGACTATTGGCCAACATGGCTGAGATTTCTGGGAGCTGAAGTCCCTCGGCCCTTAAAGGGGAAAGGTTGCCTACCCCTGCTCTATGCCATCATTTGAGTCTGAAAGGTACTTGAGACAAGTATTTTCATGATAATGACTGCCATAATGGGAAATAATCAACAAGACATACTTGCAGAATCACCCCATGTCTATTTGTTTTTGGCAATTAAAAAAGTTCTAGCTGTTCAAAATGTCTTTTATCCAGAATAGACCAATGGTGGTCTAGAGCTACTGATGATAATTATGATTGATAAGAGATAGCAATGCCATGTTTCTGATAGTTCTAACTACTAATACTTGTTAACTATTAATAAAGAAACTACCAATTGCATTGTTATATCTATATTTGAAACCCATTACAGAGAATCATTTTCAAAACAAACAGAATACATTACACAAATGGCTTTAATAGTTAGATTCATCAAAGTCAAAGTAAGAGTTGTTTACCTTTACAAGGTATCTTAGGTTGTGACCACTGTGACTTTTCAGTACATGTAATATTAATGCCAGGAACTTTACTGTTTTTGTGACGGCATATGTATTCTACTACAAGCCCAATACGAAAATACCTTAACTCATTAAACTTAGCTTTTATGACAGCGTCATCTAATATTGGTGGGAAAGGGCAGTCCCCTGCAAACAAAACAAAAATATGAAAAATTAGCAATCTGAAGAGGCCACAATAATGCCATCAGAAGTATATAGACTTTAAAGAAGTTACATTAGGCTTCATCCCATCTGTTTTCGATGCCACAAGAAGTATTAACACTTGAGAGATCTATTTTTTTAAAATATATATTATCTACAAAAATCATAGCAATCAACTGAGATTGTTCTGTTTTCTGTTCATTAAAGCAGGCTAATATATAAAATATGAACATAAAATATATAAACAAACAAATGTGTGACTGACATCCTGATTCTTACCTGTCACATTGCTTGTATATTTCCCAACCTTGGCAAGTAGACTGCCATTGTATACTATGCCATGAGTGGGAGCAGTATTGTTGGAATCAACATTCCATAATATCCAATAATTTTCCCCCACCTCGGCATAATAAAAAACACTACAGGAGTGGACATAGGAAGCCATTAGAAAACAAATTTAAAAATGGAACAGTATAACACTTTCTTTGGACCACCTAAATATAAAATAGTAGAATCATAGAATCATAG